AGTAGATAATATCTTTTCAACTAGAGCAATAATAGACAGTGAATGTAATGTCTATGATCTTATTTCTCAATTCTACATTAACAAACATAAGCTTCTGTATATTGAAATTTCTTCTGTTAAAATGACTAGCTTTGAAGACTCCATGAGACTCTCCATGAGCATAGTGACTGACATTCAAATTGATATAGGTGATCATATAACTGAACAGGCCTTTCTCTACATGGTGAATGAATTACATGATCATGATATGTATCTAGATGACCTCTGGCTGACCCAGCAAAAGGTGACCATGATCTCTCATCAAAGAATTGTGAGATTTGAAGAGAGTGGCATAGAGATAGAGTCTAGTTCAAACACAAAAGCTGATGTGATTCCCATCTCTGCTGTAAGCTTCTCTAGGCTTATGAGCACTTGAGAGAAGTGAAACATCAAGATCTTCACTGTCAGTTTGACCAATATTCAAAAGACTCTAGAAGTGAAATCAAAGATTGACTCTAGAGAAAAGCTGCCTGAACATTATCATGAGTTTTTGAATGTATTTGATAAGGAAGTCACTGACACTCTACCTCCACTTCATGACCCAGGTAGAGATCATGAGATTGAACTGATTAAAAAGATCAATGATAGCACAGAACAACTCCATTAAGGCTCATTATATAATATATCTTGAGAGGAAATATTGACTTTGTGAAAGACTCTTACAGATTATCTAGATAAGGGTTTTATTAGAGTGAGCAACTCCCCTGTGATCACTTCTGTACTATTTGTGAAGAAGTCTGAGGGTGGGCTAAGATTCTATATAAACTATCAAGCTCTTAACAAAATCACCTGAAAGGATTAATATCCTCTACCATTAATCAGTGAGACTCTATAGTGAATTGAACAGGCTAAATGATTCACTAAGCTGAACATTATTGCAGCTTTTCACAAGATTCAAATCACAGAAGATGATGAGTGAATGACAGTATTTAGAACCAGATACAGGCTATTTGAGTGACTGATTACACTCTTTGATTTGATCAATACTCTGAGCATATTTCAAAAATATATCAACTAAGCATTATATGAATATCTGGACGACTTCTGCTCAGTCTATTTAGATGACATCTTGATATTTTCCTCAAGAAGCTTATAGAAGCATCATGAGCATGTACAAAAGATGCTTATATGTCTACAGAAAGCAGATCTGCAGGCAGACATCAGAAAGAATGAGTTTGAGATGAACAGCACAAAATATCTTGAATTCATCATTGAAGCAGGTAAGAGTATACAAATGAATCCAGAGAAGATTAAAGCTGTTTTGAAATAAGTGACACCTACTACTCTTAAAGATGTACAAGGATTTTTAGACTTTGTCAATTTCTATAGATAATTTATCAGGGATTTCTCAAAGATCACAATCTCACTGATAATTCTTACACACAAGAATATTCTTTTTTTGTGAATGAGCAAGACTGAAAAAGCTTTTAAGCATCTAAAATCAATGTTTATCTCTGCTCCAATTCTGCTTCAATTTGACTCTGACCATAAGACTATATTGAAAATGAACTTCTCAGATTACATCTCAAGAGAAGTGCTGCTACAATATGACAAGCAGAGCATTCTACACTTATGTGTCTTCTTCTCTCACAAGCATTCACCTGCGGAATGCAACTATGAGATTTATGATAAGAAGTTATTAGTGATAATTGAGTGTTTAAAGGAATGAAACACTGAGCTATAAAGTGTAAAGAAATTCAAGATTCTCACAGATCATAAGAATCTAGAATACTTCATGACTACACACAGACTAAATAAAAGACAGCTATGTTGAATAGATATTCTCTATTGATTCAACTTCAGAATTGATTACTGGTCAGAGAAGTTGAATGCTGAATCAGACATCCTATCATAAAGAGAGCAGAACATGTCATAGGGTGCTGATGATGAGAGAATCAAGCAGAGACAAGCTCAACTACTTAAGTTTAATGTACTAACATCTGAAATAGAATCAATAGTAACTGCTGCCAGTGTGGAACCTGAGATGTCTCTTCAAGCTCAGTGAAATGAGACTCATAAAAATGATAAGATTCTACAGTGTCTGAAGCAAACTCTTCATGAGAGAAGATTCAAATTTTCTTCTGAACTCAGCATTAAGATCTCTGTCTCTGAGTGCTCTTTAAATAAGAATGAGAAGCTTCTCTTTCAAGATCATAAGTAAGTATCAGACTTTGAACCTCTTCAAACCAGGTTAGTGCATGAGGCTCATGACTCATCTCTTATCAGTCATCTTGAGTGAGAGCAAACAGCAGAAGTTCTAAGATGTGAGTTCTACTGGTCAGATTATACTGCCAATGTGAGAAGAATGATCAGGAACTGTCATCTTTGCAGATCAAACATCACATAAAGAGATTGACATCAGAAACTGCTTAAGCCTCTCCTCATTTCTGAATGCATGTGACAGAAGCTTTTTATGAACTTTATTATGAACTTACTGAGCTCTAAAAAATACACAAATATCATGATTATAATGAATAGATTGATCAAGAGAATTATATTAAAAGCAGTTAAGAAAACTAATGTGAAGATAGTGACTAGAGTGTTTCTTTGCAACATCATTTCTCAACATGACATTTCTAATACAGTAGTGTTAGATCAAGAGTCAGCTTTTACAAGCATATTTTAAACTCAGATGTGTGAGAAATTAGGCATTAAGAGATGACTCTTCACAGTCTATCACTCAGAGACTGATGAAGCTACAGAGCAAATGAATCAGACTCTAAAAATCTATCTACATAATTACATTAGCTTTCAACAGGATGACTGACATGAATGACTTTCTCTAGCAGAGCTGATCATCAATAATAGAGATGCTGCCTCAACAGATGTGAGCTCATTCTTTTTAACACATCTTTTCCACATCTCCTCCATTGATATAGCTGATGCACCTTTCATTGAAATATCACATAATTTCATTGAGTTTGCAGATGATTATATGAGAAAGATCTGTGAAATGTTGAAGTGAACTCAAGTAAAAATGATAGATGCTCAGCAATCTCAAGAGAAATATGTAAATAGATAAAGAGACTCAGCTTCAAGCTTTCAATCTGAAGATAAGATCTAATTGAGCTTAGAGAACATGAGAACTAATCACCTGTGCAAGAAGCTGAATGTGAAATATAATCAATATACTGTGCTAGAAAAGATAAAATTTCATGCTTACTGACTGAATGTCTCATCTGACATTCACAATATCTTTAATGTAAAGCTTCTACATACTGCAGCAACAGATTCCCTGCTTAGTCAGAGACAAACTGACTGACAGCCACCTGCTATAGAGATCCCAGAAGGACCTGAGTTTGAGATTGAGGAAATTTGAGATGAATGAACCTACCAGAGGAAAAAGCAATATCTTGTTAAAAGAGTAGGTTGAGCTGAGCCTATGTGAAATGACATGAGTCTTCTATAAGAAGTGAAGGCCTTGAACACTTGAGAGGCCTCTCAGCAGGCAAAATTAGATGTAAAGAGAGCTTTAAATAGTCATAAAGGTCTGCAACAAAGAGGGAGAAGAGAAGTATTATAAAAGATTGAACTCCTAGATTTGCTCTGACTGACTGACTCAGCCTAGTCATTGTTTGCACATGTGCACATGATCATGCTATGTGAGCTTGCTTAAGCTTGAGTTCTCATCTCATTCTTTTCTTTCCTTTCTCAAGCAATTCGTCCTTGTTATATAGGAGGACTAGTCTCTAGTTCTTAGAGCTTAACCCTTTACAATTTATTTATATTAAATATTTTTATAATAATTTAAAAAACTATCTCATGATCTTATATTAAAGAAAAGATTAAAAAACTGTATCTTAGTATATAAATAAAGTTTTTAAAAAGAAAAATAATTAATATATAAAATAAAAAATAAAATTAAAGTATAAATTTTTATTAATAAAATAAAAAAGAAAATCTTTTTTTTATAATATAATTAAAACTTGAATATAATTATTTCAACTTTTATATAAAAATATTAAAGATTTTATAAATTTAAATAAATATAAGTTCTATAACTTAGTTAAAATTTAAATTATTATTATTATATGTTATATTTTCTTAGTTATCCGCCTTTGAGGGCCTCCCGGGCGGGAAACGGCCCTTCCCGATGCGGAAACCGGCCGTCCCATTCTGCGCTTGCGGTCCGCGCCGCCGACCCCATCTAAACCACAACGTCTATATAAACCCCCACCTCTTGCCGTTCTAACGACCTCACTCCGCTGTCGTTTTACCCTCGCCCTTCCCTCGCCCTCATTCAACAACGCTCGCCAACGCTCGCCAACGCTCACCAACGCTCACCCACGCTCACCCACGCTCGCCCTCGCTCACACTTGAGCTCACCTGGGTTATCAACGTGCGTCCTGTCTCTGGAATCTTCCCCTGTTCTCCCCTCACCCCGTGCTCTCTACACCCATCTTCTGCAGAATTTCCCACCCTTCCTCTTCAGGTCCTATGCTACGCTTTTTACATTCCTCTGCATTTTCTCTCTCTACGGTCTTTCTGTCATCAGCCATTCAATCTCGATATCTGGCCGCGTACTCCGTGTAGTGCAGGGCGCGGTTTGTCACTTCCGCCGTGGAGGTCCTGTCGGGCTCTCTCTCTGTTGTCTTGACATGCGTTCCCTAATAGCCAGGCCCGGCCTTGCGTCCCTGCCCAGCGGGGGTTTCTCCCTTCTCCAGTGGCAGGGGCACGGTGGCGTGTCACGGTGAAGGAAAAGAAATTTCTCTGCATATCCAACCCTCGTGGCTTGACCGATGGGGTGACGTGGACATCGCTCCAGCGCGTGTGAATTTTTGGTCACGCTACGGTTGCCTCCTGGCCAGTAGTAAGACGCCGAATCAACGACAATGAAGGCTTCCACCAAAGATTGGGGTCCAGCCCTGGTATCCTGGTGCTAGAATCAAACGAGGAGACGGGCATTGTGTGAAATTGCGATGTGATATCGGAGTCACCCACCTTTACGCTGCATACGCTGCATGTCTCAGCTAGATGAATCGAGGGGTTGGTTCTACTATTGGAGATTCCTGCTTATGCGACAGGGAGTGCGTTGGAGCGCCGGGGAACACATGACAAGCAGGTCAAGAACGCCGTCGGTTGATGCTACGGTCTAGGAAATAAGAAGCGAGAGAGGCTGCGATTCGCCTGCACTCGCTGCGGAATATGGCGGCTGGTATCGCAAGACCATGGGCGACGCACCCCCTTAATTTACCGGGATTTGGTCAGCTTTTGGGATACGGGATATTGGGCTCGTTCAAGGTGGTGGGGGAGTAGAAAGGCTGCGAGCGGTAGCCTGATCCGGCGTAAATTTTCGCCCGCTCCATGATGATATATTCACTGCTGCGTAGCTGCGCTCTGGGTCAAAATCGCTATCCTTGGGTCCATCTTCCATCCCCTGCAGGTGCTCATACTGCGCCTGTCTTTCAGCTCATCACCAGCTCAACCATTGATGCTGTAAGTGGGATGTTTGTATTGTGTCAACTGACGGCTTCAGTTGGGCTGTGTTAGCCGGGGCTAAAGGGCTATCGATCCTGCTTCGCTGGCAATGCACCAGGGCCCTCGGGTGTACATTTGAATACGAAGTCCAACGAACGAGTGGCTCTTAATTTATCCATCTGTGCCAAAATTCCTGTGCCGCTGGCGTTTCCTATCTAGGATAAGTCAGCTGTGAGGCCTCGGTGAGACGTCGGTTCCAAAGGTTGGAAAGTTATTTCAGCGTGCTTCTTCCCCACCCTGAAGCTCTGGAAAGCTGGATTTCTCTTCCCTCCCAAAATGACTCGAGCCTCCTACAATCCTTCCAAAACCACTGCTTTGTGTCAGCCGACTAAATCGCCGCCCTCATGACGTTCCTTCATTTCAATCCAAACGCCACGGCACCAGGCACAAAATTTCAGCGGACGCCAGTTTCTCATGCCCAGCAACCTGCGATTGGAAAGCGAACCGATAAGAATGAGAAGCCAGTCAACAAGGAGCCACCTAAGATACTTGAACGTCGGGTAACCAGCTCAAACGTGGAGGCAACAGACATCCAGAATCATAACCTAGATTTGCATATCAATGCAGGCGGCAATGATTGGGATTCGCTGCGTAGTCTCTTCTATGTCGACGATTCCTACCCATCGGATACATTGATGTCCATCGCTACAAATAAACGATCCCGCGACTATGAAGATGATGAGAGCAACACCAGTTTTGGCCCACAGTGCAGTGGCTCCTGCAGCGACAGCGACAGTGTTGTACTGGAGATCAACTCGAGCAAAGATATGCCGGGGCTGGATTACAAAAGAGGTGATGTGGTGTCTAAGGCCCGAGTCCCGAGTGCTGGAGACAGCAAAGGAACGTCCCTTTCCCCCTCGATTTCCTTTGTTCCCCGCCATCCACTCCATGCTATTCTCGCTTGGGTTCTTACGAATGTTAGATACATCCATTGCCATTGATGATGGCGTTCAGGATCTAAGCGACGATGATAGAATCCCGATTTCCCAAACCGCGCCAAGTATGTGCAGCTGGGTACCCAGTGTTGGGAGTGACGACGAGTCCGACTCTGAGGGCCAGACCCCACCATCGCCAGTGTTGATTGAAGATGGAGGAGTGACAATCGGAGGAGTGGTTGGTTGATGAAATCCTCGAATCAATGTTGGAGGATGATGACCAAGGGATGCGGTGGTTACTTGGTGAAATGGAAAGGCTACGACCCTTCTTGGCAACCTGAACATGATCTTATTCCTGGATGTGAGGAGTTGGTCCGTGAGTTCCACGCTAAATTGGGGAAGGTAGAGAGTCATGGATCCCTTAAGCGGCGTGGGAGACCACCTTTGAGGAACCGCTCCAAGAAGGCGCGGTTTACATTTTAGCAACAACTTGTTCTCGTCTCATCTTTGCATTGAATAAATGTCTAATAATACTCCATTGTTGCCCTTTTTTACAAATGATATGAGGAATCTTTCCTTACTTGCTATGTAAATATTCTATTCCTCATTGTAAAAATGCGCCATGAGAAGTGGCCAATCCAAGGAAGAGGAATCAAACTTCCTTTCTTTGCCTTACGTTTGGCGAGTACATTCATTGATGAAAATATTGGAATTGCTATCTACACTGGTACATCATGATTTTCATGGTAGCCGCGAAATATTCCATCGCAACGTGTGAATTTTAACAACAAAAGTAACCATAGCACCCCTTTGGTCATTGTGCTAGTGACCTTTCGCTCGGCACCACGATGGCACCGCGACCTCCGTTATCCATCACTTTGACATCCAATCAAAGATATCGCATCGTCGTATGCCTTGATAATGGGATTGTATAAGCGTTTCGGGTCTTGCGGTGTACCAACGATAATTCATCTGCCCCCATACGGGAAAAGAATGTCTCGTATAGCTCTGCAAAGAGGTTTGGCACACTCAAATATTAGCGGGAACTCAGATAAAATATCATCAAATCCATCTGCACCCATGTCGCTTCGTTTAATTCTTGCGATCTCCCCGTAAGTATCGGTGTACCATTTTGTCAGTAAACTGTTGTTCGGTGGAGAAAATTCAACTGTTAAGATGCGCTCAAATCCACCAGCTCCGATGTTGCCTTGTTTGGTATTTGCGACTGTCTCATGACTTCCGGCGCACCATATTTCTAACATACTATGTCCCAACCAGCCATGTAGCTGATACAACGCCCGCAACTGCTTTAACTTGTCCCAACCATGACGGGCACATTGCCAGATAAGCACGTAGAAGAACGACTCGAGATCATGCCGATAGGTATGGTCGATATTAAGCAGCACCTCAATCGCCAGGAATTCCATCGTGCCGGTCTGGTGCCGCGCGCCACTTCTCCCGCTCCCAACCTCTTTGGCAAGATCCAGATCGATTAGCATGCCGGAGAGGCCATCCGCTTTTTCCGGATCAGTTATTATTATGTTGTTCTCCGAAATATCCCGATGAAGGATGTTCCCATCCAGGGAAAGAAACCGGTGCGCCTTTATTGCATCGCGAAGCGCCGTGAGAAGCTCCAAGGGTGACTTGTAGTCATAGATCGGCCGGCCAGCGGGCGAGATCACGAGACACCGGAAGACACGGTTGTCGTAGAGTTCCTCGCCATTCCCGTCGAAGAGGCTTGGTTTGTGCGCCGACTGAATGGAGAAAGCTAGTTCATTCTCCTCCTGGGTGTCCCTTGATGGTTGATTGATGGAACGCGATCGTTTGGACGCCTGCATCCACTTATCCGGGGATCTGCGTTTCCTGGAAGATGACTTTCGACGGATATCTAAGCGACGCGGCTCGATGAGCAGCTGAGATTGATGAAACGAGGAGGCTGTGCTGGGGGGTGCGCTTTTGAAGTCGTGGCACCTGTCGTCGAAGGTCAGGCCGCAGCGCATGTCGGCGATGCTGGTGATGGTACTGTGACCGATGATCCTTGCGACTCCTTGGACATTCTTTTGACCAGCTAGTTCGAGGAGTTCCACCTCCGGCCGCCGCTTGTTCGACACCCACGAGAATTTAGCTACGCCTTGTCCATCATTTGTGAGAAAACATGTGGTCCCGCGACACACGATGGCACGTTGAAAAGAAAGTATTTCACCCAGCCGCAGCACCTTTCCAGGCCCTTTGACCGTTATTGATTTGCTGCCGTCTTCATCCCTAGCAATAAAAGTATCCAGTCCCAGTTCCTCATCACTCATCATGGTGTACCCGACAAGCACCTGAAAGAACCGTCTCGAGTCCTTGTAGACGTCAATGATGCCGGAGCTATAGGGACCCGAACGGTCGAACACCCACGCCTCCATCTTGGTCCCGCAGACGGCGAACGCGTGGACGAACCGCCGGGTGGGCTGGGCGGCAAAGACCTCGCGCACGGAGCGGCTCATCTGCAGCAGGGGTGCCCTTTTGGTCTTGATCTCCTCCTTGGATTTTTTTGAGCTCGCCAACTACCAGGATGTCTCTCCAGTCGTGTTTGTTTCGCGAGGGGCACCTACCCCTAGCTCGCAAAAGAAGGTCGACTTGCCGTTCCGCCTTCGAACCGGTAAGGTCCGCTTTGCTCGCCGTGGTGTAGTAGGTGCTGCGTGATTCCGAGAGAAGGACTTTTTGAAGACGAAACCACCAGGCGAGGACAGCGTCCTGCGTAGAAGGGATGGGAAACTGAGCCCAATGAGCCCAATTACCGTCGCTGTCAGGGGCCAGTTCGCGTCGACAGATGGCATCTGCTTTGTCGCTCCAGTCTTTTCCCTCAAAGTACTTGTCGAAGAAGCCCTCGACGTCTCGAAATGTGCAGCCACGAATCTCCTCAAAGATTCTCGGATTCACCAACTCACACGTCTGGCTCGGAACCTTTCTGCGATGACGAGGTGGATTTGACTGGCGTGCCGTCAAAGGAGGGCGGTACGCTCGCCGGAGGGGTCGATCGTGAGATGGTAACGGTGAGGTTGAGGACGGCCTTCCAGATATTAATGTCCGGTGCTTTTTGGATGACGAGCTGCGCCAACGCTCGATAGTAGTGGCAGTTGAAGTGACCTTGTCTGAGACGCTTGAATAGACCTGCTAGGTCAGAGTCGACATTTTGATCGCTTGCGCGTGAGCGAGCGAAGGTTGAACGCGGCTTCATCTCTCCTCAAAGTGGTGAGAAGTTTTGAAATTGCCCTCTGGCAAACTTCGTCTTTGCGGGTCTGCTGAGACATCGTACGCTTGTTCTGCCCCTCGAAGTTGACGATGTAAACGATCTAACGAGTCACTTAACGGATGCTTTGTGATGATGCCGCGATCACTTGGAGAGAGGTCAGGCATGTGGTGTTAATGCATGCGGTATGCTTTCTGGCAAGGCGAATTAGGGACCTGGGATGAATCGTTTATTTTGGGAGAGGAGAATGAGTCACATGACCGCACCATTCTTGTGTCTTATGTAATGTGTAGATCATGTGATGTGCTAGACCCCTTTTTCAAGACCAGGGGCGAGTGGCTGGCTACATTAATCTCTTCAAGGGGGGAGAGTAATACCACAGACCATGTTGTCTGAGCGATCCAAGATTTGTGTTTGCAAGGGAAAAATGAAAGGGAAAACAAAGCTCCATCCGCGCAGTTCACGGGGGATCATATCGACAACCACCTCGCTGAAGATAGTTGAAAGCTGGCGGTTAGTCCGTTTCCCTCCCAAAAATGCTGGATAGCATGGCTGATGGAGGTTGCAAAACGCCGAGTTACCATCGGTATGGTGGACAAATTACATGAATTCTCCAACCCCACCCACTCTGGACTTTCCGCAGCCTGTAGATGGACTGCCTGACGGGTCTGCACTTTAAATATCACATATCATCCAACCATCCGCCCAAAACGATGATCATGACTGTGTTATCTAAAAGTTGAGGACGTCTGCAAATTTGCCCGTCCTATCGTGCTGTAAAGTAGTTACGGGTAGGCATCGTTCGTCCACCGTCTATCGCCGACGTACTCTGCTCCGAATTCACTTCTATCAATCGGGCGAACTCTCGAATATCAAAAGAGCGGCAGCTATTGATGGTGGATTTGGCTTATTCTGCTATTAACATGGTCTCTTCAGAATCCTCCTTTCCATGAATTTTTATACTCCTCCAGAGCTAGACAAAACAGGCGGATTGGAAAAAGCAAAAGTGAGTGACCAAGAAATTGGTGTATATGCTCAGAGGGATAAGGGGGTGAGATATGTTCTAACGAGGAGAGAATGGAGCCGCGGGTGGGTTTGGAGATGAACTGAACGAGAGACCTAAATGGGCTACACCCAATCTGGGGTGGCCGTGCTGTGGACACGGTAGGCGTGGCTCTGAAGCCCCCCATCATACTCTCGAGGAGTCGACTTCTGAGAGCCATTTGAAAACGTAACCGTCCCTAGGACCACAATTCTAGGCGAAGCATTTGCAGCCAGGAAACTTCAGATATAAACGGATCTAGCGTTTTCTCAATCCAGAGGCCTCAGTCATCGTCCCAACGTAATGCACAAACAGCAGCGAGACAGTACTCCCAGTAACTTGGATACCAACCAGACTTCTCCCAGTCAAGAATGACCAGCTCCAAGGCCCGATTACTGGCAGTTGTCCGCTAGGGGTCGCTCCGAATCATAATATTTTTGCGTTGACAGTCACCATGAGTAAACGTCGGCTTATGGCCACAGAAAATGTGTGGCAGACATTGGCGGTAAAAATCTGCCCTGAAACGAGGCCGGCCGTCAGAAGTGTATTTTCGCGCCATCGCTTCGTTGAGCGCGGCTTCGGTGGTTGAACGGACCATTGATTGGAGCTTCTGCGTGCCGCGTCCAAAATATCTCATCAAGAAAGCATCGTTTGCCTATGCTTTCCGTGTGGACTATCCTTAATAACCCGATCCTGCGAAACTGCACCCCCGTGTCCATGAAGGCGCCAAAACAATTTCAGTATCACATGGGCAGAAATGGTTTTGACCAACATGGGAATTTGTCAATCTTGCTCAAAGGATGTCCGCCGTCCGGGCCATCCCAGGAATCAAGGGCGACAGACAGAATCAGCTTTAACATTAGGGATTGATCTGGCTAACTTCTGCATTGGGGCCATGATCAATGATCTGGGAAGAATCGAAGGAGAGGATAGTGAGCACCACAGGAAAATTCACTCTTGTATCTGGACAGGCCGCGGCGGGCGTTGATTCGCTCAAACAAGATGCAAGTAAGACGACTCGTAATTTTAATCGGTCCAGTGCGGGATTAACCTGAGGCATTTTTCAGAAATATGAACACAAACATTTCTCACTGTTCCCTGACTAGAGTTCAAAATAAATCGGTTTAGATGTTCTTAGAATGCCAGATTACAAGAGGTACGAGAGTCATGCATGTTGGGATTGATCCGCAGTCGCCAGATGCAAGAGTCTATTTCAGGAGGTGGTCCACTAGGTGATGTCGATGTCGACACCTTCACTGGATTTTGCGAATTCGCATACACGGGCGTATAAAACACTCTGATGAGGAAATGAGCATAATCACCCAGTCTTTCACGAACCTTGAAACCAAAGCCGGAAGCGATGCCGAATCCGACAAAGTGCAGGAAGACAATGAGGTTTTCAATTCTTGGTCAGGCAAAAAAGGCCGGAAGAAGTCAAAGTGGGAGATACCTACATCCCCAACTGTATACCCCTATGAGCAACTCTGGAAAAGTTTCAGGGCTCGGTCGTTCAGTGGTGCGGAAGCTTCGGTCTCATCTCACCCATGCATTCTATTCCATGCAAAGTTATACGTGTTTGCAACAACATATCTCATTGAACCATTGCGGATCCAATGTCTAGAAAGTCTTCACCGAGATCTCTGTGGCTTCTCGCTGAACAGAGAAACAACGCCTCTGATTCTCGACTTGCTTGACTTCACTCACGCGCATACTGGCAGATATGAGCCAGGCGGAACATCCCTTCTCCGAAACTTGGTAATTCATTACGTTGCTTGTAAGGTTCGGAGGCTTTTGGATGATGATAGGCTTCAAATGCTTTTGGATGCAGACGGGGAGATGGGTTCAGATCTAGTGTGGAGGCTTGCTAAGTAACCTAGATTTGCCATGGCCAACCAAGTAGATAGGAAGGATACAGATCTTATAAAACATCTTGAAACACGGAGGAGTGATGGTAAATCACCGAAGTGCAACAAGTTTCTACAAAAGCACATACGCCGCTGTCTCCAATCTTGCGCTTAAAAGAATCATCGAGCGAAGCATGAAATTGCTTTAGGCGGGAGGTTGCGAGAGACATGAGGGTGCGTTTGGTATCTTCCGGGTCTTCTTGGACGTGCTTCAGTCTACATAGTAGTCCCTAATAGAATAGAGAATGCTAGCAAGATAGCTATCTACCTATTTACCTCCCTACCTACCAACCAACTTGCCTGCTCAATATCCAATCAATCTCTATGAGAATAAACACGCCATCTAGCTACCCCACCTACCTATCAATGCTGACTTACTAGCTGACTACCTGCCTATCTATCTACTGACCTGCTTGAATGAATGATATCCACCGATGATATCTGTGATGATATTGTTTAATAGCAACATAATGAATAATATGACTTCGCACTTTCGCTCCGTCCTGTCCCAGCTGCATGTTTCATGAAGTTCCTGCTATAGAGTGTTGTGCCCTAGCTTTCCAACTGTGGATGGGTCACCCATGCCAAGAGGCGATTGTGAAATGAGGGGGAAAATTCGGAGATTTGATCTGTATGATTAGTGGTTAAGGAAAAAATGTAAGAGATGAAACGCGGGTATATTGCTCTGCAATACATACTGCGCGCCATCGGCGAGTTTCCAGAGTAGGGCTCACATCATCAGAATTCTGCTGGTGTATTCCGGTTTACGAGGTGGAGAGAGAGGTGGGTGGTTCGCCCCCCTCATTTTTCTCCATATTTTGTTAATAGATATTTTGGTTCCTCAACGAAGTAAATTCAATTGAAGAATTTTTTTTTTTTTTTTTTTTGATTTTATCGACGAATATATCGATGGTTGTTTTCAGTGGATTGTTTTCTGTTCGGTACCAACCGGTGTTGGACACCTTATATTTTTTTCTTTCGATGAAAGAAAGATGTTTGATGGCGATGGTTTGTCGTCAATATGCGGATTTATATCGCCTTCGATATTCTCCTCGGGTGAGGTTTGAGCGTGATGCGCTCGAGTATTTTGATGATTTGACGGAGTTACGGGCGGCGATGTCGGATAGCGGAGCGATTATAACTGGAGGGTTTGCATTACGATGTATATGCGATGGAGACTGGGATGTGGCGGATGTTGATATTTTCGTGAAATGTGATGGTGTGATTCGGATGCGCCAGCATTTGACTTCAAAGGAAGGCTATCAGCTGGACAGAGTCCGGGAGGGGGAGATGTACTTTAGGAGCAAGGTGAGATGATGATGATTATTATGTCATATGGAGTTGAAATAGTTAACTACTAACTGGAGGAGTAGTGTTATGATTTTACGCGGATGCGGGTTGATTCCAGTGGAATTGAGCGGACGTTGAAAGTTCAAGTGGTGGATACGGAGGATATTGTGCCGGATGAGTATATTGTGGACAATTTCTATGGAAGTGCGGTGATGAATTTGATATCGAGTGATTCGATATGTTGTGTGTTCCCACGGGCGACAGTGGGAAAATATTTGATGCAGGTGATGAAGGTGTACAGCCTTTCTGAAAGTGAAGAGCAGGGGATGTTGAAGTATGAGGGTCGGGGATTCGATGGTGTTGGATGGAATGACATGGATAGGTCAGAAAAGGAATTCAGCGAGACGCGTCGGTTTGGCGACCGGATGTGTTGGAATGTTCCGTTGGGTGTTCGACGGATGCCAAAGCGGCGAGTGATCGGTGACGATGACGTTGGACAGAGCCGGTTCGTGATGGGAGAATACCAGTCAATGTTGTTGCCGAAGTGGAGTGATTCAGTGTGTTGAGATAGATCTGTGATGATGTGCAAACTCCAAGTTCAGTTAATTCAAAAAAAGGGGCCCCTAGCTCTGTTGAGAGAGAAGTTATAAAGCTGATATGTTTTTTAGATAGATATTTTGTATCCATTAAGTCAGCGAAAATACCGGGCGAAAACCGTCTGTATAGATGACAGTACGTGATATTGTAAGATACGAACAGCCGAAAAGTGGAGACGGAAGGATATGAATAACATTGCTTCACTTTTTGGCTCACAATGTGCTCGTGGTTGGGTCACTGGTGCTGGAAGACAAGTAGATTTGATCTGTATGAGTGCGTGGAAGATCGTCTCCGTCGACATCTCTGAACTATTACCTTGTTGGGCTCAGCTCCGCCTGTATCTAGGGGTTCTTTAAGTAGCTGTCTAGCCAGGAGAACTCAGGTGCGTCGCCTAAATGATGTCACCTTAGCACTTGCAGATAACGCTTTTGATCCTTTCAAAGCTGTGCTGCTTTCAAGGAAGCTTGTCGACAGAAGAAAAAATATTAGTTGAATCTTTGTTCAACAAGCTATTCCCATGCTATACTTAGACTTTGTGAGGAAGACTTGGAAAACGTGCACAGTTTAACTTTCATTGACCTGGAGCTCCTGCAATCCTAACTGCAGAGCTCAAAGAAGCTTTCCTCTAAATGTTTTTCAAGGATCTTCAACTCTTTTCGCCTGTCTTGTCTACTGTTTGGCTCTGAGGCGATGAGTTCGACCTCCTCATCTGAGAATGCTAGAACATCTGTGGGAGTGAAGAGGTGGCGGAGGTTGCGTACAATATGACGTTCCATAATCTGACGGCAGACATTGTCTACAAATGTCTTCATATCAACCTAGAACAACTTTCAGTGCTGGTGTGGGGAGTGTTGACTTCTAAGCTCTGACCTTATAATAAGCAGCTAGTCCGGCCTTGGCTTCTTCACAGGCTTGTTGCTCCATATTCACGACAACATGATTCTGCAAAGAGCCTAGGAGCTTCGCCAAATCATGAGGAGTGTTGCTGACGTGGATCTTGCCCCAATCATCCGACACGCTTTGAAGGCCATGCTCTAAGACGGTGTTCGCTCTATCGTGACGGGCTTTCTGGATGTTGTCCGTGTAATAGGTTAGATGTGATTAGCTGAGTGCGCTCGTCGTCACAGAGCTTTCGCAACTCGTCCAGCGCGGTGTTGAGATTGCTTTGAAGGGAGCGGTCGAGGATCTTGTGTATATCCCGACGGATGTGCTCTTCTCTGACCACATGTGCCAGCGCCCGAGTAACAAATGTGGGTGTCTCCTCGTGGACGCGATGTATGTGTTCGCTTCGCTATAGCCGGCCACCGGCTGGATTGCTCATGGAAGAGTTCCGTAAGAAATGCGTTGTTGTAGTTGCTTGGTAACTCCAATCCCCGAGTATTCCTGTAGATCTTCAAGGGAGTGGTTAGTGCGGAAGCTGGCTCTACCCAGACTAGAGGGAAACAGGAAGAGAGGGACGCCATGCATACCTTCTTTATCCAGCGGTCAAACTCAGTTTCATTCATATAGAATGGCTCGTCGGCGTCGCCGCTATGATCGTATTTATCCTCCTTCTCCCTATCCTCCTCAGAGTCGGCAGAGCTCTCGAAAAGGTCGTCGATGGGAACTCTTTCCGTCTTTCGCTTCTGGGACTTGTCTCTCATGTAATCCGCAAATAGACTGTTGAGTGTATGGATCTGACCGCGAAGCCGATTGGGGAAATTCCGTTCTCGTCATATCCGAAGAAATCAGACGCTATGTGTTGGTATGTTCCATCCAGCGCTGCTTGGATGAGACCAACAAGATCCATACTCAGCTTACTTAGGAAAAAACGCTGTTCGCTGACCGTCGGTCTCTCCTGCCCAAGATCTTGGAGTTGGACCTTTGTTTTGTCAAGGAGAAGGCGGACCTCCGCGCACACCTTAGGGAGCTCTCTTTCGAGGTGATCTCCCAGGAGGCCCTGGAGGAAAGGCTGTAACCTATTCACACCGACTCTCGACAGGTCGATCCCGTGCTCTCTCCATGATCACTTCTTCCAGCTGCTGTGGTGAAGGATTCTTGAGAAGAAAGAATCCGTGTTTCAGTCTTGTCGAATCAAGGTTGTTCGTGAGATGTGCGATGCGCCCTTCGGTACCCTTGTTGATGAGATCAGGCTTGGTGATGATGCCAACGGTTCTCTCGCCAGCTCTGTCAATGTGGTGAGCGCACTGGATGATCGGTTGCGTGGCGATGTCGTTCGTTGCCTGTACCACGGCAAGGATGATCGTCCGTGAGCTCTGAAGATACGAATCTACGATGTCTTCAACTAATTTGATATCATGCGTATCGTGCTCCTCATTCTCCACGGATACCAGCCCTGGAAGGTCTACAACGGTTAGATGGAGACCAACATCTCCGACGACTTCGATCCGCAGGACATCGGCGGAGAATGCAGGCGCGCTGTCACCGCTGCCGACAAATCCTCGAATGCCCATACAGCAGGCTGCGTCGTTTATGAATCATAAATACAATGTTGAAAATTTTGAAGTTCCAGGCATCTGCCTGTTGTGCAACGTCGGGCCATGAGCACAGCCGCAAAGGATCCTGTTTTGGTTCCAAAAATTCCTGCGGCTCCCTTGGCAATGCTCATCCGGATCGCCAAATCCGTTTGTATTCAGCCAAGTTCTTGAGAAAACACTTCCAGAAGGCGGGTATGAATAAAATGATTTTCTTATGATGCTGTACGACTCAGATAGCTCGGCTTGAGATATTTCTAAACACATATTTAAAGGCTGTTAAAAAATCCATGTGTTCTAGCATCTGACAAGGCCTTGATATCTCAGATAGTAATACAAGAGAATGCCTTTGTGAAACATAGGGGATTGAGAACTTTCACTCGAATCAAGTAACTTGAGAAGTGGTCAATCCAAGGAACGGGAATCAAATTTCCTTCTTTTGCCTCACGTTTGGCGAGTGATTCCCGGACTGTCCATCTCACCTGGCCACACTCTTGAAACAGTACATTTGCAACAGAAACAGCCCAAGTATATAAGGACCCCGTAGAGAAAAGATTACATATGCCAACCATCTTGGGCAGCAAGCATGCCGAGGTACCACGGTGCCAAGAGAACAGTCATCTGGGGCTGTTCAGCGGTACCTCCGGATGTGAATGGGATGGGGGGAACAAACTCAAGGTTGCCGCTGTCATCCACTCTTCGGAATACGACCAATTCACGATTGGTAAGAAAAAAGCCGTGTCGAGAATTGCGCTGTCTCATATACCAGTTGATCTGACTGAGTGCTTGGCGATACTCGTTGCGAATTCAGAGGAGTGGGTGGGTTGCAAGGGCTGTGCTCCATTTCCACGATGGCTTGACATCTCCTGGAGCGCGATTTGGACCTGTGCCTGCTGGCAGTGCGACCGCAAAATAAGCGGTGTCTGGCTTGGAAGCATCGATGACTTTGGCGCGCTCTCCAACATCAAATGACACGGGAGTGAGGTTGTTCATTTGGTTGATTGTCATCAACCGGTCAAACCCAGTTCGAAGAGCCCGTCGCACTCTTGGAAAGACATATTCTGAGATCATGCTTCTAAGAGCATTTTCTGCTGTTATAGCACCGGGTGGGGATGTCGGCATGGGGTCTGGTGGGAGCCGTGCTTTAACCAAGAGATTCTGGTAACTTTGAAGAAGTGCGTTCAAGTTGAAGCCATGCCAAACCCCTATATTGCGGATGTCGCTAGCTTCGGATGCCTCATTGGTGGTGTTGCGCCCAGGGTTTGGAGGCGGATTGACTGGAATCGCTGGTAAAGCATTTTGTAGGTAAGTTAAGAGGGACACCTGGTTCGCCATATTGAACAGGAATCAATGTTAACTATTCGGTCACAAATTATTCGCAAGTCGCTAGCCGAGGAATATTGTATGTAGTCTTATCAAGTTCTGAAATGTTACAGCATATTTGCTTTCAGGGTAAGGCCATTGGCCAGACTGTATGGAAATAACGAGTGTTCACGATTACGTTGCCCACGTCCAATTATCACCATCACCAGCCCACGTCTAGCTACTCCGGAGGTTGCTGCCTAAGGGCACACCACGTTTTGCACAACCTTCATGTACCCAACGCGTGAGCACAGGGGAACTTCGCTTGCCAGTTAACATATTTGACCAACTTTTTCGAACGGGGTACATACGAGACAGACAAGCAAAACAAACATACCAAGGTATCATTTGTATCTCGTGCTTTACCCCCTTTTCTCGACGTCAAAACAGCGACAACAAACCCACTTTCGAAAGGATCTAGGAAACGATGGAGCTTAACGATATCAAACCCTCCGAGATAGTTTTTAAGGTGAAGCTTTTTGCCTCTGATTATTCGGTGATATTACTTGTTACTGTTCATGACCAGATATGTGTTATGAAGGTGGTTAAGTCAGATCCTCCGAGAATTGCTGTGTTCTGATACTGAGGGTAACAGCATCAACGGTCGAGGGCCACGACGGTACTACGAACCGAAAGATCGTGAGTTGGATGTCCATGTGCTTGAGTCTGCCACATATCGGCGACTAAGGGATCGGGGGTTGTGTGAACATGGAATTATCCCTCATTTCCTTGGGATGATGGAGAAGTTCGATCCGAAACCATGCCAACCTTACCTGAAAATGTTCCTTCATGATAAATACCTTCCTAGCACTATTTTTGTGGAGTACATACCGAATCTGGAGATGATTCATCTGCACAACTATACACAGAAACGAAAGGACAACTTTCTCAAAGGCATACAGGAGATACACGGAGCAGGAGTACGGCACAGGGATCCGAAACCTAGGAACATGATGATCGTCAAGGACGATTTGGAAAGAGTTGTTTGGATAGATTTTGACCGAGCAGAGACTTACAACCTTCCAGTCACCGATGAACAAAAAAGGCTTTGGGACGAGGAGGAGGAGATTGTTCTTGGCTTCTGGGACTGTTTAGTAAGTGCACCAATTGCAGCTCGCCGCCTAAGGGGGTTCGCGACCCATTCTAAATCTCATTATCTACTGCAGCAAGCCGATTGTACAAAAGGGAAACTTGATGAAGCGTACCTTTTCTACTGCACTTGATCGAATCCTCTCGATGGGTCCCTGGGTACCCGTGTCATGCGTGAATAACGAAAACAGGGTCATCCCCATTGGGCATATATGTGCCCGACGCACGGTTGAAGCTGCTTAATCAAAACCGGCTAAAATACTCCGATAGTATCTTTTTCTCTACCTAGCTACAAATTATTTCGGATATGGCTCAAATCCCACCATTCCCCCATCATCATGGTTTACACAATTATGTACTGTATGGATGAATTTGGTATTTGAACGCTTAGCTATACTTGTCTCAGTGATCAGCAGCTGATGCTTAATAAAGGCATAGACATGGCGCGGTAACGCTTGAATTCTGCGTAGCGGAAATTTGTACCGTGGACGAAAAGTATCTTAGCCGGTTTTGATTTTAAGCAGCTTCAGCCGTGTGGGCGGGTGGGTAGAAAGCTTGCTGCAGGCTAGGTTGATGAGAACCGAGGATGAACTTTCATTAAGCGAAACTGTCAAGTGCAAGAGAACAAAGCGCCAACTTATTGTGGGATGGTTGAATCTCTCATATTGGGAGGCCTAGCTAGCTATCTAATATACGCTATATCACGTGCGGCAGGGCGGCAGCCCCGGCAACATACACCCAACACATATTCACCCAAGGCTGCTAGTCACGTGAATATCAGTTTGCCCGCAATTGGTATCAATTCATGAAGGTAAACCATGCCCCTCGCTCGTTGCCTTTCGAATGCAGGCAGGTAGTAGCCAGTGATGGAAGTTCAGTGAATGGGGTCAGAGGAGACTGGTATGTTGAGTCTTGGAACGTTCACTGAGCAATTCGAGCGCCGCAACCGGGGTTGAAATCAGGGAATTGTGATGTGGATGCCGTTGAGCGAGAATATCCCAACGGCTGCTACAAAGAGACTGCCACAGCTATACACGTACCCTCCACTTACGGAAATCTCCCTTTACCAGGGGATGAAGTGGCCACTTCCCGTGCGTCCCACGCCGGGTGTCTCTCCACGGAGTAGGAGTGGCTGGTTGAAAAGGTAGTGGATCCTGGGATCCCCTGCGCGAGGGGGCAAGTCAATGGGAGATCGCGCGGGGGGCGGTGGTTGGTCAGGATCTTCATCTGTGGTAATGTGTCAATATCAATTTCAGTCCTGATTTGTTTCGTACTATGCCTGTCTTGATTGTTTTCTTGTTTGCTTCCGTTCCCTTCGTTTGATCTTATTTCGCTTCTCAGATTTCATTCCGGCCCAGGAGCCCTATATCTGATATTGCCTATCACAGTCCCGCCCAAGGCCTACCTGGCCTACACCCATGGTATGGTATCTTCTTTGTGTGTGTTCCTTTGTTTGTGTCTTTGTTTGTTTGCTCTTCCCTCTTCTTTCTTTGTCTCTCACTTTGGTTTTTCTTCGAACCATTTCAGTTTGTCTATTTTGCCTAGCCCCGGAGGAAAGGATAAAAACCTTCCCTGGTTCTGTATATCCATATTTATATTCTTAAACCGTAATAAATCGTCGACTGGAAATTCGTATCTCAACAGAAACCCCGTCGCTCTTCTCACTTGCAATAGGATGTTTTAAAGCATTCACCACCATGCCGAATGCCAACCGTGGCATGCGAAGACTAGGAGGTTGATGATGTGGAGGGCGGATGGCTCAGCAAACTTGGGGCACATGATGAGTTTACGATTTGGTGACTGGGTGAACCGTTTGCCTGTATTTTAATTGTATATATAATTCTCTAGGTCATTCTCTTATAGGCAATCAATGTATCTCTCCGACAGCTATAACCCCGAAGAAAGACATCTTCCACGTCCAAGAAGTCGACGGGCCACACTACAAGGCCAAGTCACGTGGCGAGGCTGGCCATTTTAGCAGGGGTTGCTCTCAGGGTCACGAGTGCGCTAAGTCTGATTTGGTGTGCCAAGGAGCAGGGGCTTTGAGGTGCTGCGTTAAACGCTCTATTGCCTAACTTAGTTAACCATGGGCTGGGGCGTTAGGTAATTGTTGGACCACCTGCTAACTACAACAACTTGTTGGAGGATTCCCCGGTTACCCGAGGTCACGTGCACCTATGTATATTTATTAGTTGTAGCTAGCTCGCTTAGAGTCCCACAATACAACAAGGTTGATATCGGTCCTCTTAGACAACTTTTACTAATTGCCCTACTGTTACTGTATTGAAAGTTTTCTCCCCACAAGAAGATGATGCCACCAAGGCGCGGAATATTCATTGAAGTTGAATTTCACATAAGCTTGACGCATCATTTTTCGTGCCTGTCGCTGATCAACTGTAGATTGGTCTTCGGCTTTAGCAACAGGGATTTCGGTGGAGGGTTGGCAAAATGAGCAGCCATCAACAATAAAAATGATTATGTAAAGTAGCATTAAGTTAACTCCAACGGCTCCAATCAGCGGAATTATTGCCTATCTAAAGGTACGTCTCTTCTTAGACATATTGAATGCTTCAGCAGAGCCCTCTTCGCTCTGCCGGGTTACCGGAGCACCTGAGGCAGCGTTCTACAAACCATCAGCCTCTTCAAATACAGATGTAAAACTAGAGCCTTGTATATCAACGCCTCTGACACCTTGCGAAAGTCCAGTTGATTCTGAGAAACTCAGCTCTGATTGATGTAATACTTCAGGTTGCTGTGACATCTGTGACGCCTGCGACATCTCAAAATTTACCTGTGGCAGTTCATCAATAACGGAGCATATTTTCTTAAAATGGGAAGGTGCCCAGTCATTGTACACACTCATAGAGAATTTGTAGGATGTCCATTTCTCTTTGCCATCAAGTGAGGTGAAGTCGAACTTGTGAATGGGATGGCGGTAGTATGTAGTCTTCTCTCCCTCGATCACAGGATAGTGGCCATAGATTCTCACGGAACAGTGATCGTGTGAAATTGAAAAGGCCAGGATCTGTCTGTGTAACTCCATTTCACGCTTCACGGCCCTGAAGAGCTTAACAACTCCTCTTACTGAGAGAGTCATACTGTGCGCATTCTGTCGATCTGCTATATCGAGTGCCGCCTTTCCGCACTTCACTTCAACCGTCATAAACGGAAAGTACATGTATGCAGTACTCATAAAGAAAGACATATCGCCAATTTCGCCGACAAACGGTGTAAGCTTTTCCAGTCGAGCTTCTGAGAAGGATTGCCGGGGGAAACCGACCGCATAATCGGGCTGTGGCCGAGATAATCGAAATTGTCGAGATTGTGGAAGATGTGGCGTTGGCAATTGTTGATCCTCCTATAGAGAAATCGAGATATCCCAGCCTTCTTTCACACTTTCTACCAAGTGCTGGAATGAGACGCAACCGTGGTCTATCGCACCCTCAGCAGAAGGAACAATCAACTCAGCAATGACTCGAATGACTCCCGTCTCGTTTTTCTTCCTTATCCTTTGGCAGGTTAATTCGAACACGCCATCATCAAACCTCGTTCCACTAGGAGTCTCTGAGTCTTTCTCGAGTAGATTTCGACAGGAATTTTTGCTGTCGCTAGTGATTCCGTCCTTATGATCGTCCAGGAAGATTCCTTTAGACTCAAGGAATACCTCATAGTTCTTGTCAGTGTAAGGTCTACTCTTGGCTTCTCGTGAACTTGTTTCGCTCGGCCCGTTCAAGCTAGCATCCGACTTCGTACGGCGGAGAGACGGGGTTTTCTGCCGTTCAAAAAAGGCTTCCATGTTGTCAACTTCTAAAGGGCTTTTGGGCCATTCGTAGTTGCTAACCCAATGCTCAATGAGCTTATCCTTCTCTACTCGTGGCCGCTTCGTACGATGATAAGATGGATGTTCGGGTTCGGGGTGCCGTCGTTTAGGTTCAGACAAACGGTGTTGCCGCGAAACTGCTAGACTAATCATGATAAGAATTAGCTCCTGTCATCTGTATTATCAAGGTCATGATAAGCATACCTCTGGACCAGCAGTTTGGACGATTCGAGGACCATCAATGCTTATTTCGCCCACTGTGATCCTGAACCCACCAGAGCTCATAAATTCACTACCGGGCTCTTCACGACGTTTGGGTGGATGCACCGGTGGTGTTGTTTCACACTCTCGTTTTCGTTTATGGTCACATCACCTGAGGGATTAGCCTCTCGCACACCAGCTCAACCATAGAGAGTATCGTACACTGTTTCCCAAGTGTGCAACTCGCTGGAAGTGATGACGAGTTTGGTAGTCCAGGCTGGAGGCGTGCGTTTCCTCGGCAAGAATGTTGCACCTATGGTGTGCGTTGGGATCGCCTCGCTGGTGATTGTTAGTGAGAGTAAGCTGGTAAAAGACGAACAAACCCACCGCTGTTCTGAATTTGAAATGCAGATGATTGCCTTCCACTCCTTTTTTTTTTTACTATACGCGGAGTCATATTTATTGAAGGAGGAATGGCCGCGGGCGTTAAATGGGTATCTCAAAAAACGGCGATAGGTGGATTCCAGATTGGGTCTAGTGGCGACTAGTGTGGGTGCGAATCCGGGGTGCATGGAACGGCCGGAAGCAGCTCAACCGCCTGCCACTTTCGGCCGCCGTGGCCCTCAAAATTGGATTCTATGTGTAATTTATTTCAGGCTTATAAAATAAGTTTATTAAATAATTAAAAGTTAAACTAAAGCTATCATTATATAAAGAGCTACGCTCTAACTCTCATGGTACTCAGACTTCATCTTTATGTATGACGGATATCTTCGATGCTATCAGAGCAGCTCTATCAAGTAGCATCTTCAATTATTAAGATCTTTATATGAAACCTTCACTACTGAGGCCTTCATATACTATTATCAAGCAATGTCTTTATCACTAAAGTTTTCATACAAATACCTTTACTTAATACTACTGAGGCAGTATCTCTGTTACTGAGATAATATCTCAGTCATTCTCATGTAAAGCTTCTTAATATTGAAGTTTTTTCTGTATAAAAGTAGCTCAATCTTCTTATAATTTATCTCTTCTTCTTCTTCTTTTTTTTAATAATTTCTTTTTATTCTTATATATATTAGTAAATAGCTATTTTCAGTGACTAGTCTATCACATAAAAATCATTCAAAAGATCATTTACTTGAAAACTTAAGAAGTCAGTTTAGTGACGGCGTAGAACGGGCTCCGCCCACACTTCTCGACAGCATATGGCCATTGGGTTGAAAAGGATAATTGCAACTGCCTAGCAACGGCATAGCAACCAACCCCAAAATTGCCCCGTAAACAAATACCCTGTAAACACGGGAACTGCCTAGCAACGACCTAGCAACTGCGCTAAGGAAAGGGGTATATAAAGAGAGCCTTCCTCAAACCCTTCTTTTAGGAAATATCTTAGTATTTCATCAAGATAGCTTATCTAGTTGGCAATCAAACACCTATTTCACCTGCGCCTAGATTGAAGCTATGACAATTACTAGTAAAAAAGAGTTATATGAATAAAGACTTTTTTAGATCTTTATTTTATAGAATATATTAATATTTTTTTCAAAATAATTTATCTAGTTAATAATTAAATATCTATTTAATTGTATTTATATTAAAGTTATAATAAATAATATAATAGAAAATAATTATATTAAAATTTTTTAAAAAATAAATTTTAATAATAATATATATATATATATATAAATTGATAATAATAAAGATAATAATAATAAATATTTTAAAATATAATATTTTTTAAGCTTTAATATTTATTAAAATATAATTTGAAATTAAACTGAATTATATAAATTATATTTATTTAAACTTATAAAGTTTTTAATTTTTTTTATAAATAAAATTTAAAATAATTATATTTAAAATTTTAATTGAATTTTATTATTTGAAAAAATTGAAAGCAAATTGATATTTTTAAATTTTTTTTATAAAAGTTGAATATATTTCACTTTTAAAAGACTATTTAAGAGTTAATTCATCTTTTAAGATTTTTTTCATTAATGATAAATTTTTACTCTTTTGACTTAATGAATTGAAACAATCCTGACAAAGTTATTTTACTCTCAGCTAATTCTATCATTTTCACTATTTATATTGATAACAAGTCTGCAATAGAACTTTTTACTAATGTAGTTATATCATACTTCTTTAAGATTATGAAGATTCATTTTCACTTTCTTTGAGATGTTGTTCACAAGTATGAAATTATTCTATACTGCATGTCATCTGCAGATAATGTGACAGATGATTTTGTAAAGTCAGTGAATGTCATTAAGTTCATATTGAGGAAAGGTTTGTAAAGTTGAGAAATGAGCACTTCTTTTAATGCTTTCCTCTTTTTTAAAGAGTTTTTTCAGTCTTGGTTTTTCAAGTTGATTCTGTACCCGTACTTGACAGAAGGCCCATTGTTGTATACAATATTGAGTACTTCTACCACGGTAAGTGGGTTGTCGGACCCTACCGTTACGTGGCCTATTCTCCATCATATATAGTCGTTCTCATAGTTAGCAACCTTTGCAATCGATCAAGCTTGCCATTCTGTCATGATCTCCTTTCTAGCTGAAGTGAGTCAATCACTCCGCACTCTGGTCTAGTGACTACCAGTACCATGTGCTTTTGTGCAGTTCCATGACCTAACTGAGATAGGGACAACAATGAGACTCACACCACCATCATCATCATCTGCATAAAATACTCTTACTTGCACTGGTAATTCACAAAATGCAATACTTTCTCATCCCTCCTTCTCCCCTTAATCTTTCCCAAAATGCACTTACAAATAACCCCCCTCCCTCAACCACCCAACAACCGCTGCCTCCTCCCGCTCTCTATACCCCGCATTGGTCCCAATAGTATCAAGCACAACCCCTAAACCTCTTTCAATTCCCCCCAAATCCATTCCTCCCTCAAAAAAGAACCCCCTAATCTCCCCCGCAACCCTCCCTTCAGCAAACTTCCCCAACCCCATCCTCAAAAACCTCTCAAAAACAACCTTATTACTCCCCAACCTTTTCTCCACACCGTCCCAATTACCCTTAACAAACTCCCAGAACCGAATCCTTGCCTTTGGATTTGCCGCCATCGCCAACGCCCCGGTATGCATATCCTGAACAGCCACTTTGCCGCTGAAGACCAGGAACTGCGCGTACGAGTCGATAAGCTCTGGGATCCGCGTGCGGCCTAGCGACAAGAGACAGATCTCCTTGCCATCTATAGAGTCTGTGCGGAGGTATTCGGTCATTACGGTGTCGTATTCGGGTTTGCCACCTTCGGCAATGGCCAAGCCGTAGACGGCAGAGCGGAGGGAAGGGTGGATTGTATTTTGGTCGGAGTTGGTGGACCAGGTGTTGAAGCGGCGGCGCGCTTCGGATAGGGTGCTGCAATTTTACAAAAATTCAATTAGTAGATGCAGAGTTGGCAGGTGGTTTTGGTGTCTGGATGTTGAAAGAAAAAGGGGAAGGAGGAAACTTACGCTTCATGCCCCGAATTCCCAGCCATAGAAATGAGCAAAACGCGAAGTTGCCCCGTCAAATAATCCTCCCCATCCTTGAACACCCATCCAATCTTCTCGACGGCAGGCGTAACCAATTTCCTCACGAAGTTCTTCAACCCCGCAGCCGCCTCTTCGTTCGTCGCGAATATAGAGCGCAAGTTACTGAGGGTCGAGGCGATTTGGGACCATACACTATATAGTACAGTTACATCATTTGTTAGAACTCTTTAAAAAAAAGAAAAAGAAAAAGAAAAAGAAAAAGAAAAGAAAAGAAAAGAAAAGAAAAGAAAAGAAAAAAAGGGGGGAGGGGGAGGCTAAAAAATTAAACATAGGCACCCGTTTCTTTACGTTGCAAATACTTACAGATAGTTTTCCTCCCCCCTAAACCCTTCAATAAACGCCAATAGCGCCGCCGTCGTCCCCTCCCCGGCCACCGCCAACGCAGCCGCATCCCCAATAAGCCCAATTTTATCTTCCGTACTGAGCTGATCCTGCGACTTACCCAGTTTGGCAAGTCTCTCGGCCGGGTAGTTCGTGCGGTAGAAGCCACATTGGTCTTTGTTGAGTTTATAAAAGCTCTGATCACTACCAATCCCTTTGATGGAACGGGATCGGGTCGTGAGGCCCTTGTGCTCTTGGACTGCAGTGGAGGTGGTAGCATCAGTCTTGACACCCAGCGGAATCCACCAGACAGTTTCGTCTTCTTCAGGCTTCGCGTCACCGGATGTCAGGAAGCGCTTTTGCGAGATGGAGAGTTGGTCTGGTAATTCCTTGACGGTGACCAGGGGGAAGCCGATTTTGCGGATCCAGGGGTCCTAATTGGTCGTGTTAACTAGGGGCGATCCGACAATGGCATGCTTGCAGATACAGATGTGAGATAAACAGGGCAACGAACCATGAATGCAGCCACATCCTGGTTGGACGCCTTGCTCAGCGCCGACCAGAGATCATTGGTTGTTGCGTTTCCTGGAATTTCCATACATTAGCTGTTATGTCATGGTACCACATGCTACAGGGAAAAATTAGTGTACATACCATAAGAATGAGCCTTCAAATAATCAGAAACTCCACGCAGGAACGTCTCTTGACCAAGTTGGCTGCTCAACATGCGAATAACGGAGCTACCCTTGAGGTAACTGATGTGATCGAAGATCTGATCAACCTCAAGCGCGTTCTTAACAGGAACTTCAATGGGGTGAGATGCACGGAGCGAATCGAGTTGGAACGCTGATTGGAGTCCCTCAGCCTGTAAGGAATTCGTTAACAAAACCAGATGTAAACTGGGTAGAGGAGATACCTCTGGCGCTCCGTACCACAAACTGGGACCAAATTTCTCTTTCTATTGTGATCGTTAGCAAATGGAGTATTACTTTCGATGGGAAGACCGCATACTAACCAGGATGGAAATGATCGATAGCTAACCAGCCAACCCATGTAGCGAAGCCCTCGTTAAGCCAAAGCTCGTTCCACCAATCCATCGTAACCAGGTTTCCAAACCATTGATGAGCAAGTTCTGAAAAGAGGTCAGCTTGATAATCAGGAAATACTAGGCAGGGGAGACACCAATCCATAATTACCATGAGCGATAACATAAGCTACGCGATTCTTATACTTAGCATCCGATTTGCCCTCTTCGAATAGCACAGCGGTGGTTCTGTATGTCACCAGACCCCAATTCTCCATTGCTCCCATCGCCTACACATACATATTTGTCGGCCACAAAACCTCCAAAGGAAAGGAAAAGGGGGTAGGGGAGGGCGGCACATCACTCACAAATTCATGAACAGCAAGCAAATCCGACTTGGGCAGCGGGTAGTCAATCTGGAAGATTTCCGAAAAGTAATCGATGGTCCGATGGGCGTAGTCCAGTGCAAATCGAGCTTGTTCCTTGAGGCCTCGGGTGGTATAAACACGGACGGGGATGCTGGCGCCGTTGTATTTGCGCTTTGTCAGAGCCTCGACATATTCGAAGTCACCGACTGCCCATGCAAGTAGCTTTTAACAATGGTGTTAGTTATACAGTAGTTGCAATTGGACATGCGGGAAATTAAAATTGGAGGCAACAAACTAACGTAGGTACTCATAACCGGTGTACGCTGAAACTTAACAAACTGCAAGTCCTCCAACGACCCCTGGCGCATCTCTTTGACGGGCATGTTACTCAGCGCAACCAAATCCTTCGGGGTCTCGATTTCAAAATCAAACGTCGCTTTCAGATTCGGCTCGTCGAAGCACGGGAAAGCCTGTCTGGCGTCACAAGCTTCGAATTGGGTGCTCAGCATGTAGTAGTTCTGGTCGTCCTTGGGGGTACCGACACTGGGAGTTCCGATGGGCTTGTATTTGGATCTATAGAAGCCAGCCATATGGTTGTTCATGGTTCCCGTGAAGTCGACAATGAGAACGCAGGGACCGGGCTGGATGTTGGAGGGGAATTTGAGGATGGCTCGTTCGGAGGTCTTGTCGTAGGAGATGTTGGTTGATTTGATGGGCGGCTTTCCTGATTTCAGGCGCAACGATGTGTGAGTATGGTTTCTGATTTACTGCTACAGTTTACTATAAGATCAAGCAATTGATTGCGCTTACCGTCTGCGAAAGAGACCTCCGCACTATCGACGGTGAGTTCTTTGGCATTGAGGACGATTTCGCTGGTGGGACGGGAGATCTTCATGTCTATCTTGACCTTGCCATTGTAGGCCCAGGAAGAGCCCAGTTTGAGGTTGAAGAGGGACAGGTCATAGTGGGTTGGCTTCGCCCTAGGATAGTTAGCTACGAGAGAATAACTTTAGAAAATAATAAGAAGAAGAACATACGCATCCGGCAGGGTATCTCTGTCTGTTGGGTTCATAGTGCGGAATTCGGTGGAACAATGGCGGCGGAGGACAGTCGAGAGGGATGCTCTGGGAGGGGAGAAAGGAGAGGATATGAGCCGGTTCCGGGAAGAGAGGGATGAAGAAGAGGAAGAAGAAGAAGAAGAAGAAGAAGAAGAAGAAGAAGAAGAAGAAGAAGATGATGATGATGATGATGATGATGATGACGATGATGAGAAGTGTCTGTTGGCATTAATAGACGTGGAAGTAAGAGGAAGCGTTGTCAAGAGAGCACCGAAGAGGGGATGGTGGCTTCGCCGCAGCCTGAGGCCCTGGCGTGGCGGAGAGTCGGGACAGCCCGTCGGAGAGCAGGCAGCGGCAGAGACGGGGCAGGGTGAGGAGAAGACCACGCCTCGGATAGCCGTGTCCCTCAGCTGCAGACGGGCGTTGGCGACAGCCCCGGGGCTGCGGAGGAACATGGGGAGGTTGTAGTTGAATGCAAGCAGCTTTTTCTATCCTTCAGACGTGCCTATATTTTACAACTATGATCTACGTAAATACGTCTATTCATTTGATAGGAGTTACGTCTACCGTAGCCGCGTTCATTCATTCTGCCCGCTCTGTTTGAACAGTTTTTACTTTCGATTCTATCTGCCCATGCCACACTAGCAGAAGAAAAAGAAAACAACAGATTTAACCCCTCCCTAATTGGCCATCATCCCCTGTTCCGAACAGCTGGCTCGTTTACTTGAACATTCCAGCGCGCTGATTCGCTGACTCATCCATTAGTTACCGCTCCGACTAGTTAAATAACTTAAGTAGATATATCATGATAGTTATAACAAACTCCTCCCGTCCCCTCAACGCCATCAGCCACCCCAATATGCCCCGCCATGCCCACCTCGGACCCTGAATACGTCGCCCAACCCTCCGACAACGATCTGGACGAGCTCATCGCCTCCGCCTCCGACGACGATGACGAACTAGATACCCGACCCTCCGCTTCCGGCCGCGACGCGCGCTCGAAAGATGCCAGGCGCCGCAAAAAGGGCCGCGGCGGTGCGGAGTGGGAGGTATCCCGCACCTGGGAAACGCTGGTTGAGGGTGCAGATGGCACGATCCGCGCGACAGTCGAGGGCCTGTTGGAGGCGGGCAAGAGGAAAAGGTGCGTGTAGGGTTTTTTTTTTTTTTTTTTTTTTTTTTTTTTTTTGGGTTTATGTCATTGTATGAGAGGGGAGGGGAAAAGGGGCTGATTGTTCATAATGTGAAGACATTCATCATAACAGCTATGACTACTATATCCCTTTTTTAATAACACTGATCTCTCATGCTGAATTGAAACTTACATCTCATCATCAACAAAACTTCCCCCACCATGCCACTTCAAGCCCAATCCCAATCCAAACTAACAATAGCCACCCCGTAGAGTTCTCCGCGACACCACCCCGCTCCAACGCGGCATAATCCGCCACCTAATTCTAATCCTCGACCTCTCCTCCGCGATGTCTGAAAAGGACCTGCGCCCAACCCGCTACCTCCTCACCCTCCGCTACGCCCAGGACTTTGTCCGCGAATTCTTCGACCAAAACCCAATCTCCCAGCTAGGCGTGTTGGGCATGCGCGATGGCCTCGCAGTCCGCATCAGCGATATGAGCGGCAACCCGACGGAGCATATACTGGCTATCCAGGGGCTGCGCGCGAAGGATCCGAAGGGGATGCCGTCGTTGCAGAATGCGCTGGAGATGGCTAGGGGGGCGCTTTTGTATGTTTCCCATCTATAGATATACATATATATCGGTTCTCCAAGTGTTTCCTGCAAAAATGGGTTCAATTTTCTAACAGTGATGTTATAGCCACACACCAAGCCACGGCACCCGCGAAGTCCTTATAATCTACGGTGCCCTCCTAAGCTCCGACCCAGGAGACATCCACAAAACAATCACCTCCCTCATCACCGATAAGATCCACGTCTACGTCCTCGGCCTCGCTGCGCAGGTCTCCATCTGCCAAGAACTCGTCACAAGAACAAACAACGGCGATGACTCAGGCTACAACGTTGCCATGAACGAGCAGCATTTCCGCGAGTTAGTTTTGAACGTCACCACCCCACCGGCCACCACACTCGCCTCCCATACTACCACCACCACCGGCGCCGCCAACGGCACAAGCACAAACACCAGCACAGACGGCACTCTCCTCCCCATGGGCTTCCCAAACCGCCACCTAACCCCGCACCCAACGCTGTGCGCCTGCCACTCCACCCCCTCACGCTCCGGCTACCTCTGCCCCCGCTGCTGCACGAAAGTCTGCACTCTCCCCGCCTCCTGCCCCTCATGCAAGCTAACCTTAATCCTCTCGACGCATCTGGCACGCTCCTACCATCACCTGTTCCCGCTGATGAATTGGGTGGAGGTGTCGTGGCGGAAGGCGGCGAGGGCGGAGGCGGAGGGGAGGGTGGGGTGCTTTGCATGTGGGGTGGGGTTTGCGGGAGTGCCAGGGGAGTTTGTGGGGGCTGAGGGTGATGAGGATAGGGAAGGGGAAGGAAAGGGGGAAGGGAAGGGTGCTAGCAGGGGGATTAGTGTTAGTGGGCGTTATGAGTGTTTGGTTTGTCGGTGTCATTTTTGCATTGATTGTGATGTATTTGCTCATGAGGTTGTGCATAATTGTCCTGGGTGTCAGAGTGGGGTTGTGCAGATGAGGGAGCAGGAGGGGTTGAATTTGGGTGGGGATGCGAATGGGAGTGGGAATTGGAATGGGAATGGGGTGGTTGATGTGATGGATACGGAGTAGAGAAGAGAGTGACGTGGGCAGGGTCGAAAGGAAAGGGAAGAACTCTGTTGTTCTTGAGAACGAGCTCTTTTAACAATGTATGATATTTCTTTTCTTCCCTTTTAATCGGGATGCTTACTGGATGCATGGCACGGGCGTTTTGATTTATATTTCAATGTGGTTTGGGGGCGGCGGCGTTAGGGTACATACCAATACCATACAAATTAAATGAAAAGAGGAGTATTCAAAAAGGGGGTTTGGTCCATGCCTTATTGATTTTCTACTAAATTCCGAGAAAATGCCCGACACCTCATCCTCAGTATTAAAGTTGACAATGCGATGCATCGTTCACAAGTAAATCGAGGGTATTAAATGACACCAGAAATACTTAATAATTGATTCTTCTCCTTTATGGCCCTTCCGCGAAAAGGGGTTAGAGTGGCTGGTGATTTTTCAGGGGCTCGCGGCAGAATATCAAGGCGGTGTGCTAACCACAAACTACTGACATCATCCAACCGCATCACCCCCTGGATATTAGAGCCATACCCGCCGCGACAACAAACCCAGATGGCATAGAAATGCCAAATAAAAATAAAAAAAAAAAAAAAAAAAAAATAGGTGTAAGAAAAATAAAAAATAAAAATAAAAATAAACCAACTTTTCCTCCAATCCTCAACCGCAATGTCAACAACCCCTAACCCTATCTCCCATCCCGCCGAGGATATCCCCTCCTCCAGCGCCCCTCCACCACCACCAGCTGAACAACCACAGAACCCCTCAGCCACTTCCACCTCCACATCACCTCCCTCACCACCCTCGCAATCCCCCTATCATGCCTTCCACACATACCCCTTCGCCAGCGATGCGGAATTCAAGCTGGGCCTCGGCATGATTCTGGGCAAGCCGGCGGGAACGCCGGCGACGGATGAGGAGGTTGATCAGATACAGATACAGATCGGAGAGGTGGAGGGAGGAGGGGAAGGAAAGAGAGAGGAGGGGGAGTTGCTGTTGAAGGCGAAGTTGTTTTATTTTGCAAAGTGAGTTTTGTGATTTCTCTTTTGCTTTTTCTCTTTTCCCTGGGGAGGGTGGGAAAGAGGGGTGAGTTGAGGTGATCGTGGGCGTGAAGAGGGATGAAGATAGAATAAAGGGCAAAATAAAAACCCCCCTCTATTTATTTATTTCTCTATCACCAGCATCATTAACTAACCAAATGATAACCCAAACTCAGAAAGTTCCCCACACCAACAACTTCAACCCCCCTAACACCACAAGGCTACAAAGCCTACCTCCGCCAATTAAGCAACAACCCTCCCACCACCACCACCACCACCACCACCTCCTCCTCCTCCTCCTCCTCCACTACCTCCTCCTCCATCACCACCTCCTTCTCCACCACCTCCTCTTTTCCCCCCTCCCCCTCCGCCCCTTCTCAACCCTCCTTACCCCCCTCCACCTCCTCCACCTCCACCGCCCCTCCCCAACCTCAGCCCCAGACACCCTCCTACCCAACCCCCTTCGCCCACATCGTCTCCCTAATAACCAACAACCAGCCCATCCCCGGCATCCAGAATATCCCCGACATAGTGCTGACGGGCATGGATAAGCCGAGTGCTAAGGCGAGGCGGAGGAAGCCGTGGGAGGTTGAGGCGGTGGGTGGTTCTTCTGATCTTGTTACTACTGATCTTGCTGGTGGTGGTGCGGTGGGTGTGATTAGTGCAGTCAGTGCAGATGGGACGGATGGTACAGTTGATGATAGTGCTGGTGATGACAAGCAAGGAGGCAAAGGCACAGGAGAAGCTGCTAGTGCTGCCGCTGCCGCCGCTGCTGCTGCTGCTGGTGGTGTAATCAGTCCCGGCAATGTGCCAGACAATGCGGGTACTCAGGGCGATCATGGTCGGGATGAAGGTCAGGGCGAGCCGCAGCAACATCAACATCATCACCATCAGCAGCAGTAGCAGAAGCAGTAGCACTTGCAATGACTACTATACTATATAAATCAGAGCTTGGAAAAATGGGGGCCAGACAGGCAGGGATGCATGCAACCACTCCTGGAGCAAGTCGTCCGTCCATCATATATAACTCGTATACCCATACATAAATCTATATTAACATAACACATACGGAGCAAATAACCGTTTAACGTACCACATAGCATTGACCCACAACAAGCAAGCCCGTTCTCAATAGAAGCCATAGCTAGTTATATATAACAACCCAGAACCGTTGCTCTTACCTACAAATCTTTCACAGTCAAGTTATCCACGCCATCCACCCCCATCTCTCTGTATCTCTAAATTTTGTAACAGCGGGAAATTGGTTTGTATTAACTTACGTAGCTAAGTCATAACTATTAGCTAAACACCCCTCCATCAACATTAACATACACCAATAACTAATCCCACTATCACTTTAGAAGAACATCTGATCCACTATAACCCTTTTTTGGCTTGTTATAAAGTTAAAAAAAAAATAAAATAAAATAAAAAAAAATAAAAATAAAATAAAATAATAAGGGGGTGGGGGTAGCGAGAGCGCGACGCCCTGTAGGTGTGGAGGACCTTGTCCTTGAAATCCATAACATCGGTAATTGCCTTCCAGTTTCGTAGAAATTGGCGACGACCAGCCAAAGAAACGAAGGTATTGACGGCAATAAACGGCAAAATGACGACAGCTGGATAAAAGATAGCAAAAGAGCGTATAACAAAATCTCGTACAATGAACACTGTCAACATAGAGTGATAATACATAGGATAGACCTTCGATAATAAAAACAGAATAAGACCCTAGCACCTACTTTCCTTTTCCGTCATAAACCAAAGCACCGGGAATTCAACCCACGCCTATTAGCTGTCTTAGGATAAATCATCTTTCAAAGAAATATGGCAATTTAAAAAGAATGAAAAATGGGTGTCTGTATAGCTCGGAGTTTTTCAGAAAAGAAAAACAAGAAAAAAGCAAAACAAGTTTCTGTTAAAGGAAGGACAAAAGAGAGGAAAATAAGAGAACGATCTGAAAGAGAAATTGGTTCAGAATGGTTGTTGGGTTCGGTAGGTAGCAGGCAGCTCCAACAAGCCAAAGAGCAGATTATTAGGATTTTCAATAGAAAAAGGCTCGAACCAAGCGGGAAAACCCACGCATCCGAGAATCCTAGGCTGGAGAAAATAATTGTAAATGGGCATTCCGATATGTGATCCTGTTTTAGGCATACCACGGTCAAGTGTTCCAAACGTTGGATATGCTGACGAAAAACCAAGGGCCATGGTGATGAAGAGATTAGATTTGATCAACGATATGCCGGATAGTTGGGGCTGGAGTTGGAGTTGGAACCCCACTGGCCGCCACTCCGATTGAAACGAACTGCTGGCTGGCCTCCGGGAAAACGCTCTTCACTGGGGCTGGAAAAACGGCTAACTTGAACTCCTGCTCCTGGGCCTGGACGAGTCACATGATTTGGGTTGCAGCAGAGCATTGCAACACGAGAGCCAAATTTAGACCCACGCAAAGAGACCATATGTTTACTGCGGCATGGTTAGACACATCAGGACGAAAAATCAAAGACGGATGTGAACAAACCGAATATGAGTAGCAACGATATCACGTTGATGAGAAGCTGCATTCATAAGGATCCACTGGATCAAGTAGTTGCCATACTGATCACCAGCAACTATTCAGTGCATTAGCTCTCATATCATGTGGTTAGAGAGTATTTCTCAAACTTACTATCGATGAGAGGCATGCGAGGACGGTCGGGACGCCCGGTGCAAACACGGTTCAGATAACGGTCGAGAAACTCAGATCCACCAATTTTCAGGCACTTCTCCACAACTTTGGAGGCGAACTGGTCCATACTATAGTCAGTGGCCCAGAGAAGGATGTGCTCAATAGCACGGCTCTTGTCATGGGGTGCGCCATGCTCGCAAATGTGCTGGATGCACCAGTTGCCAAACTGTCCGTGAGAGAGAAGATCGACATTCGAAAGCACTTCCTCAATTGCTTGACGCTGCAACGGTGTTAGCTTGTTTCATAAAAAAAAAAAAAAAAAAAAAAAAAAAGGGAGGGGGAATCGTACCTTTTCATCCTCAACACAGTTCTCAAAGATGTTCTGCACGACCAAGCTTCCAGTCTCCCCGAGGGCGACTTCATGCCACATTCCACGCAATGCCTCGTTGACCTTAGCCATGATCTGAGGGGGTTCATTGCTCCAGCGAAGCTCGAAAAGTTTCTGCCAGACATGGCAAGCATAGCGATGGATGACTGTTTCTGGGATGCGGCGCAGCAACTCATGAACCATTACTGCTTTATGCTCCTCTGGCACACAGTCAAATGCCTTTTGGATCACATGACAACCGAAAGGATCCATACTCAAACTCAGAGTGTTTCCGCGAACAGCGTTGGCTATGGCAATGATTTGTTCAGGAGTGCCATGTTCGAAACAGCGTTGAACAAGAAAGTTTCCGAAACGGTTGACCATCAATGGGTATGCCTGATTAACTATTGCCTCGATAATTTCGAACTTCTGCTCTGAGGTGCCAACCTTGAGCTTCTGCTGGAGGAAAATTGAGGCCTGCTGGTCATTGCCGCAGACGATCTTGTCGACAATATACTTCCAGTCACAGGACACACTCTTGTCAAGCAGACGACGGTAGTTCAACGGCTCCAGTGGTGAAACATAGGTCTGAGCAGCACCAGATGTAGACTATAACCATCAGTCATGAAAATGAAAAATGGTTGAGTGTTGTACTTACCGCGGTGCTCCATGCATCAGCTGAATTGACAGTAAACTCCGCTGCAGTAGGGGAAAGAGGAGTCCCAATAGGACGTGGCTGGTACTGGCTAGGAGCAGGGCTGGGAGCAGGAGGGCCCGGAAACATTCCGGGATAAGTTCCTGCATGCTGGTTGCTTATAGTTCGAGTTGTTGGCCCACCAGGAGCCGTGGTAGGAAAAGTTCCCCAGGGAGAGTTTTGTGGTGGAAAGCACGAACCGCCACGATTCAACTGGGAAGAAGGGCGGCGACTAGCGGCACCTTGGAGAAACTGGGACTGTTCATTGGCATAACGACTATCAAACCCAAAGGTAGGGGAACCAGGGCCAGAGGATAAAACACGCTGGCTGGGCACATAAGCTGGATTCTGTCCCATGCCCTGTTGAGGCAATCTGCTAGCCCAGTTACGGCCAGGGTCAGCTGCAAAGTTGGAGTTGCCCAAGGGAGCCGGAACTTCGCGGTAGGGCCTGTCATTTCCAACAGCAGCATTCATTATGAATGACGGATGAGAATTGTTCCATATGCCACGGGCACGGTTGTAGCCACCAGCAGAAAGAGCATCTGAGATGTCAGAGCGGGCGTCGTCCTGGCTAGCCCAGGCCTCCTGACGTTGACTATAGGGGCGGGTAGATGCATTGAAAGCATGCTGCAAATTGCTAATGGTTTGTTCAGTGATCTCACGACCACTAAAATCAGCCTCAGAGGGCGGACCCATAGCTTGGTCTAAGGTGTGTTTCATCACACGAGTCTGCGCCAGCTCTTGCTCCTGGAGCGCAAGACGAGAATTAGCAGCAACTAATTCCTGCTTCAAACGAAGCATCTCTATGGCATCCGCATTGTCCTGTTGGCCAGCATTTGAGTCACCGGAACTCAAGACAGAAGAAGATTTTACACCCTGGGTTTGAGATGCAGAGCGCAGCTGCTTGTCCATTAGGATCTTCTGCTGCTGTTCCAACAAGGCTTGCTGCTCAGACAGCTTGGCCATAATATCGTTGTTGATAGACGACTGGCTCACGGGGGTACTCTCCTTGGGGGCCAGCTTTGCTAGGATTTGATCGATAGCAGATTGCTGTGTCTCTGGATTGGAGACAGGATTTTCATGTTCATTTCTGCTTCTAGACTGTCAGTATTGCTATCATATAAAAGGGGCG